CACAAGCAGGGAACTAGATGAGAAATGGAGCAGCCAGGACATGAACTGGTGCCCAAATGGGATCTGATGCTTGCAAAGCAGAGGATTAGCCATTTGAGCCATCACACATTAAAATGAAGTGAATTCTTAAATTTGGTAGTTTTAAGGAATGGTGTGCAGCTATGTAACTCAAGTCTTTTCTTTCTGAATCTGGTTCATTGTAGCTACATGCTTGTATGAGAGATGGAAAAATCATATACCATTCCTACTCATTTGAAACTGGATTTTGAATATAGTGGTCCTCTGTTAGGCTTACTAGAGGTTCTTTCTACTCTGTGTTTTTCATTCCTCTTAACTCATAGAGATGATAAATAGATTTGGGCATGCATCAGAATCCCTGTTGCCTTATGAAGAAGATAAATGGATTTGTTATGCACAAGTTGAATAACTAGAAACAAGAGTTAAATTGGATTTGAGGTTTGGTCATGTTCTGGTTGCATATTCAAATGGCCAGACTATGCTTGAATTTTTATATGGGATGTTTTCCAGATTTTAGTTTCTTCTTACAAATTTTACTTTGTGGATTGTTTTAGGAAATTTGCTACAGGCATTATGCCACTGTTAAAGAAAAACCTGTTTTACATTAAATGTGCTATAAATGCATATTGATTTCACAAGATGGAATTTCTAATTTTATTATGTTTTAATAGTCACTTTTCATTGTCACTTTTGATGACTCAGAACTTGGAAAACAAATTTTGAAGTGTCCGGAGTAAAATCTTAGGTGCTGCCACCTCAAGTACAGTTTGGCATTCTTGAGGTTGTTTTCTTTGTCTTGTGCATGTGCCTTTCTTCTGTTGTCAGAAAACAGCCCAGTACATGTCCATGTGATGTACTAGAGGTGTAGAGGCACTTCAGAGGGAAGTTCCAGCTGAGGAATTTCTTCGGAGTACTCCTGGACATTCTAACGTGTATCCAACAACTATCAGGGATTATGGTCTCAGCTTGGTGTTTTGTTTTCTTTTGCTAAAAAGGTGGGAGGATAAGGTTCTACCGAAACCAATTCTTTTGAAAATATTATTATGGACGATCTCAAGTCTTAGTGTCTCTGTTGTTTGTGACTCTGAAAGGTCTGAGGCCTTCCTCACCAGATCACTTACCTCATCCAGCTCTTTTACCTCCAGAGCTGGCAAGCCAGACCTAGACAATCTTACATGTCTCCTGGCTCAGTGCTTCTCAAATTGTGTGAGAGGACCAGAGGTTTTTTCCTCTCAGTGTATGATGGATGAGTGATTTTGTGAAATGCAAATAAAATGAAGTACTGTAAAAAGTAATTTTAAATGACAGTTCTGAATACTTACCCTCAGTTTCTATACTTACCTATTGTATAGCTGGATTACAAATAGGTCTGGGCCCACTAATGGTCCATAGAGCACAGTTGGCTAACGATCAGCCTAATCCAGCCTACTCTTTGTTTTTGTATGGCCTGCCTTCTAAGAATTATTTTTATATTTTAAAATAGGTTTTTGAAATAAAAGGTATTTCAAACCACATAAAAATTGTTTGAACTAAAAATTTCCAGTAAGTTTTGTTGAAACAGTTATACTCACTCATGTAAGTTTTGTCTGCAGCTACTTTTGCCCCATAAAGGTAGGGTCTGGGCGGAGATGAGTGGTTGAGAGGGAGACCAGATGGTCCACAAGATTTAAAGCATTCACCATCTTGCCCTTTACAGTTTGCTGATTCCTGCTTTAGAACAAAGCCTGGAACTATTGGCATGGCTGAGATTACAAATAAGGCCTGCATTTCCCAATATGCTTTAGCTGTTGGTTATTGTCAGGCTCTGTGCTCAGCACCTTTGCATTATACTTTAGTTCTCATTTAATCATCTTTGCAGCAATCCCGCTATCTTTTATGAAAGTTAGAGAAGTTCAGAACCCTGCTGCTCTAATTGCAGATACTTGTATAGCTCCCTGAACTCTTTAACAAAAGCTAGTGTTAATCATGTTCAGAAAATGCAGCTACTTCTTTCCTGTTGCTGTGTTCCTGTGTAGTGGATGTCTCTATGTTCAGATGTAGTGAACAAGCAGGTAGGAATTCAAAGTGTTGAAAATGTATTCCAAGGAAAAAGATTACTCCTTTAAAAGTCACCTAAAGTAAAACAAAGCTGCAACTAAATGTAATGACAAAGTTCTGTTGCCAAATAGGAAAGTTATGATTTGTAAAATGCTGGTTGCAACAAAGTAACTGAAGTTTAAGGTGACTTTTTGAAGAGCCATCTGGCTTTCAGTACTTTCCTCTGCCACTGCAAAGCAAAAGTCCCATCATCAAATTGTCAAATTTTGTTACATAAGAATATTCCTATATCTCTTGTTGAGAATGTGTCCTGAAATTTCTGGGACATGCAATTAAAAATTTTGATTTTTATGGTATTCGTTACTTTGTTTTCTTATTTCTTTGCATATTATTACTCAGCATTTAAATTTAGATAGTAATCAACTTCGAGACCTGAACCTGCTTTAGGATAAAGACTTTATAAATTATATAGTCCCATTGTAGGTTCTCCAGGGATGGGGGAGATTCTAAACAGCACTATTAATTATGCACATATAAAAGGTAAAAACAAAAACAACCCACTGTTGTCTGATATTTGTAGTCATCATTTTACCCTGTTTAACTTCTAAGTCAGTTTACAAACATCTGGAAAATAATAGTGTTCATTTCTTACATTCAGGAATGAAATACTGTACCAGGGGGTGTCTCCCTTTATGTTGGGAGGACTTATTGCAAGCCCCAAAATGAATGCCAGAAACTGAGTAGTACTCAGTCTGTATGTTCATCATGCTTTTCCTTGTATGTATGAGAAAGCTTAGTTTATAAATTCAGCACAATACAGGATTGGCACCAGTAACTAATACAGCAAAACAAACAGTATGTTGTAATGAAAGCTGTAGAAATGTGATTTCCCATGACATTTGCAGTTGGATTTGACAGCATAACTAACACAGGTTTATTCCTTCTTCACAAGTTTACTGACACTTTGTTCTTACCATGGATTTAGCAATCTTAGTATATAATTTTTTTTTTTTCATTCCTTGTTAAGTCAAGAGCTTTCACTTAGAGGAAGCACTTTGACATTTCTTTTGTTATATTCGCACTACCATTATCAGCACTCCTGGGCATTAGGGCTGTTGTTAAGTAGAGTGAAGATTCCTTGAGTTGGCATTCTGATAGTGGATTGGATAACCAAGACCACTATTAAGTCATGAATGAGCAGGTTGCACTTATAGCATGAATGCAATGGATGCATATAGCACGGATATGCTGGACAAAGGGAATGATTCACATCCTCTTTGGACTCAGACTGTATGACGTCGCAGCATGCTACTCAGAAAGGTGCTAGCTTAAAACATAAATTATCTTAAATTTTTCAATTGATGTTTTTTAGGCATCAGTTGACCATGGGTAACTTATCACAGGAGGCCTAACTGTAGGTAAGAATAGAATCTTTACCGTAGAAAGTCTTTGCAAGATAGCGCTGCATCTTCTCATGCCACAGCTAACTTTTATTATCCTAAGTACAAAACAGCCTAAGCAGATGTAAGACAAGAGATAACAAATGTTCACATTCCTAGCAGCTGTGTTCTAATTCTGTATAAGGCTATTGTTTAGCTGAAGCCGTTGACACCCTGACCTGTGCATCCAAGGAAGAGAGGGAGCTTTATAAACAGCTTACCACTTAGGAGGATTGATTTCCACATATTTCAAGAGAACTCTTGTACTTACTTTAGCAGGGGATTGTTAATAAGTAAATATTAGGGGCTCATCAATGATAGTAGCTCATAACTTATAACTAAACTGTACTTGAGTAACTTGGTTCTGCTTGGGCCAGAAATGTTTCAGATTTCAGATTGATTCAGTTCTGGGATCTCTGCATTTAGATAATGAGTTATCTTGGAGTTGGAACGAAAATCTCAACATAAGTTTAATTTGTGTTTCATATACACTCTGTGCAGATAGTCTGAAGATAATTTTATACAGCATTTTTAGTACACCTGCATTTTGACTGCAGCCCGTTAAATAAGGTCAAGTGTGGAATTTTCCATTTGTAGTGTTCTGTGGGTGCCCAAGAAGTTTAGGACTCTGGAACATTTTGAATTTTTAGATTAGCAATGCTTGTGTTTATTAGTCAGTGGCTAGATAATGTTACAGCAGCTTTCTCCCCATTCACACACATACCTACAAGCCAGATGTGGCTGAGAAATGTTTCAGATTAATAAAATATTACTTCTGGATTTTATTTAAGCAGTGATTCTGTCATAGATTCCTCCACATCTAAGAATTTTACTAGTTTCTACCCAGCATAGCGTATGTATGTGAACTGAGTTTCTGTTTCTAAAAATTTTTGATGGAAAAAATTATTGTAGGGAGATCTTTTTGCAGTTCCACTGCAGGGGACCAGAGTTGCATGCATTACCATGTCTGTTAAACTTCCTGGAAGCCAGCCAGCGTATTATGGTGAGTTTCATATGGAAGCGGTGAGCCACTAAAAGGCTTGCACAGTCTCATAACTATTGAGGAGAGAAAGCGTTGGGAAATTCAGCAGTAAAGCAGCAGCAGCAGCAGCAGCAACAAGCAGCCACAGTGGTAGTAAAGACAGTGCAGGTTCAGAGTTAGCATCCTTCACAGAGAGTCAGGGAGCACAGAGCTTCCCCTGCTGCTGCCTAAAGCAGGCAATCCGAAGCTGTCGATTGCAAGATTTTTCTCATTTCCTGTTTATGATGTTAGACCATGTGACACTACTGTACCCTAAGTTGCCAACTTCACCTTACTCTGGAGAAGGTCCTTTGCTGCAGTGCTTTGCTCCTCTTTTTTTCCTTTCTTTTCCTTTCTTTTTTTTTCTTGAAAGAGAAAGAAGTGTGCAATGTATGTTTATGCCTACACCATGCCGAGGCGACACTTACCAGTAAATAATCTCTGTATCCCGGAGGTAAGATACTGTTTCTGCTTCCCCTGCACAGTGCTGCTGCAGCACGGAGCGGATCCAAACATTCGGAACACCGATGGGAAATCAGCCTTGGACCTGGCAGATCCTTCAGCCAAAGCTGTCCTGACAGGTAAGGAAACAGAGCTATCAGACCATTCTGTCTGTGGGACCAATAGCTTGATTTCAGTACATCTTTATGCGTGGGATCCTTTGTTTCCCTGATAAATCTAACAGACATATGTGTCATCTACTGCCTTCTCATTGATCTGTTATGTCTCAGTTGCTGTGCTGTCATAAGCATAAGCAACGCGATTGCTTATTCTACTTAGAATTGGAATATAAAATCATAACCTAAATTATTCACTCATATTTTAGCCATTTTTGTGATTTATGTAATTTCGTGGAACCTCAGCCAATTGTTTCTTTTTAAGACCTTCACTGTTGAGCCAGCAAGGACATTTGTGTAACTATAAAAGTAGCTTTGATTGGAAAGACAACCTGCTGCCTTATTACTTGGGCCGAGAGTTAAATATGCTGCTGCTTTGCCCTTGCCTCCTCCCTGTTTGTATTTCTACTGTATGTTTTCACTTTTTACTATGATGCTAAGCTGTTTTGAACTGAGCCATACTTCAGATAACCGCACATTTTTGTCTTAAGTATTACTTTTATTCAAACAAATGTCAAGAGCCGGCAAAGAGGAAATGTTTCCATAGAAGGGAGCTCTCATAACCATATAGAAAATAATGCATAGGTGATAGGATGTTGAGCAGCTGTTTTCGTTGATCTTCACTCTCCGGATGCTGTATTGGATCTGTTTGTGTTAGTACCGGTCTCTGAGTCCTGCTGCCTTTGCCTTCTTTGCTGAACTGACCTTTGGAATCCGGAGCCACTGTCGCTGCAGTACCAACAGAGCTGCTTTAGGTGATGGGAGAGTAAATGACTTTTAACCACCTTTTCAATTTGCCCATGTTAGAAGATAATAAGCCTTTTGTTTTCTAAGTTCAAAGTCCATGCTATGCATATTAACAAAGATTCTGAGGTGAATGGAAACTATTGATACACAGAAATCTTTGAAAATATATGGAGTTTTTGCTTGATTACTCTGCATAGAAAGACAGCTTCCCACTGTGCTGAAACTAATATAGCCCTTGGTAAATCACAGCAATATGATTTTTCTCAATTAATAAAAGGTTAGGTGCTTTCAGTTACTGAATCAAGTTTATGTACACAAGAAGACTAAAGCTATTTAAATCAATGTCAATGAAAAGAAATTTAAATATAGATGTCCTGCTTTAAATAATACAATGGAAATACATAGCCTCAGGCCTGCTTAGGTTGTGCAGCCTTTCAGTCTCCTACCAAAGCCCAGAGCAGGGAGAGCAGCTTCACAGTGGTCTCCGGCTCAAGGAGAAATTGAGATCCTGGCAGCACAGCCACGGTCTATTATAAATGCTGAGCAAGGCTGGCTCTGTATCCAGGCGTCCTCCCTCTGACCTTTCCTTCTCTCTGATTCCCAACACCTGCCCTGACTACTTCTTACATCCATTCAATGCAACATGGCCTTTAGGTCTACTTTTATATTTTAGAAAGACATTTGTGTAAGTTATTGATGATAAGTTGCCTTTCTTTGTAATAAATTTCAGGGAAGTTTATATTGCCTGTTGTTAGTTTATATGGACTGGACATTCCTGGAGGACAGATGCCATATCCATTAAAATTGATTTGAAATCCATCTAGTACTGTTCTTTGCCTAGCTAGGAAGATATTAAATTCTTCTTGGTCATAATATTGATTTAGTTAATCTTTTTTTTTCCAAGGAGGTCCACTCTTGGAAATAACCTCTAACTTTTCAAGTATGAAAAACTAAGTCTAGTAATAGTTGTTAATTCTGATGAAAAGATAACCTAGTTCTACTTACATGTGTGTTATGTAACAGTGAAATCTATTCCAAAGTGTTGTCAATTAATAAAAGCAGGTTCTCTACTAATAGATTATTTACAGTAAATATATAGGGGAAGTTTTATTTCTAAAGCTAAAGTTTAAAAATTAAGCATTTTTAGGAGGGTACCTTTTTTTTCTTTTTAAGAAATGTCTTAATTTGTTACGTTTTCATTACTATGCCAGATGCCGTTATAGTACCACTATTTACTTTGCACTAAAGTTTTTATTCTTAAATATTCTTTCTTTGGGAATTTTCTTACTGAAAATTTAAATCCTATTTTTCTGGCTACTGCTATGCCTTAACCAAATCTGTACAAGTGAGCATGTATCTTCTTTAAAGAAACTTAACAGTCTGAACATGTCTTTTTATTAAACAAATAAAAATGTGACTGACAGAGGGCCACCCCCTTTTACGCATAAGGAAGGGAGTTTTAGGAAGCTATACAAAGCAGCAGAATAGCCTTGGTTTTACAGTTAAGGAGTCCCCAACATTGAACCATTTGCTTAGGAAAGTGCAGTTAGGTATTCAAAAAAGAACGTTTAGTTGGACTGAGCAAACTGCTGCAGTATTGTGTAAGAGGGTGATGATATGCCTAGGAGAAATCTTTTTTTGTTTGTTTTCCTTTTTGTGATAATGACTTTGAAGTTCTAGGTCATCAACTAAAGGATTTGGAAGTATTTAGCGATTGGTTTACTTACTTTATTTTTTAAAAAAGAAACGTGAATATGAGAAGCTTAGAAGAGTATATGCAAATTTTATTGAAAAGGAGCTTTGATGTATTATAATTATGGTTTTTAACAGGTAACAGTTTAGCCTCTTTTTCCAGTTATAAAAATGCATTTTGAAATGGATGGGGGAAATGAGAAAAACATGGTAAAGAAAAAAGTCGTTTGTGATTCTAGCACTTAGAGATAGCATTTCATTGTAGTTTATATATATTTTTTCTGTGAATATGTGTATTCTCACTCTTCCTTTTTAATCAGATGATCCTCATGTGTTATATTATGCTTAATAATATTTATACTTTTAATTTAACTGTGTAGATATTTCCAGAAGGCATATAGTATTTTTGCTCAACATTAGTTTATAATTACCTCATAGCATCTCTCTATGAATATATTTTAATCCCTTAGTATTTAACATTTACATTGCTTTTATCCTTCATTCTTCTTTGTGAATTTAGAGTCATTTTACCAGTTCACTGGAACTGACTGCTTTGTTGCCATGTTGAATCCTAACATCCATAAACATGGTGTATTTCTTTGTTCTGAATGTTCACATTTAGAGAATGAAGGGGTTTCCCATTTAAAGGGCTACAGTGCCTGTGATAGAATCATGGGAGAACTGCATTGACGTTAAAGGTGGTTGGCAGAGGAATGTTCATTGCAGAAGGCTAGGGTTAGGGCTTTTACCCAAATAAAGGGTATTTTCTGGGGGTACTATCAATCTTAGATGATGGCAGTGGGATGCAGAGTCAAGAACAGAGATAAGAGCTGACTGAGACTGAACATTTGGAAAAGGTTAGGTGACCACAGGGAGGTTCCAGGGGCAAGCGTGGTGGATTATAAAATGGGTGGGTGCGGTATAGTTATCACACGGCTGCTGAGATGACTGGTCCTAGTAGTTTCTAGGAAAAATAAGAGAATGAGAAAATAAATTTATACTAGACCATCTCAAGAATAAGTAAGCTTCAACCTGGGTTCATTTTACCTCAAAGGAAAACAGCTCTTGATGAGCAACCTTCAGCCTCCAGAGGAGTCAGCTGTGTTCTTACTTAGGATGGCTTATTTAAACCAGCATAATGTACCTGGGACCCTACTTTCCCTTACTCTGTCTTGTTACTTTCCATTGCTGTTGGGATAAGACTTAAAGACTTCAACATGATCCATGTGGACTTAATGATCTGGACCCTACCCACTTAGGTCTGGTAGCCAGAATCAGCTCAAACCACACTTTAGGATTCCTTTTTTCACACTTTGCATCCTGCCTATCAGTCATTCAGGGCCACTGGTCATTCCTTTTGTTGCTTTAAGCGGCTCGGGCCCACACCTTCCTTTTTTTCCACCCAGTGACCTCGTGGGTCTCTGAACCTCCCTGGTTGCAGGACTTCACTGGGGTGAAGTCTTTCTAAAGTATAAATCAGCCAAATGATCTGAAACTTCTTTGGCTCACTGACCCTGAATAGAAGGAACTCTTGCTTCGGCCCCAGCCGAATGCTTGCTAGTCCTTAAACAGCTGATGATGCCCTTTCCTTTTATCTGGGCTGCCATTGGCTATTCATCGACATGAACTCTACCTCAAAGCTTCACATGGTTTATTAGTTAAATTTCTGCTCAAACGTCTACTCAGAGAAGCTGCGATGTTCTCACTCTATGACTTTGTTACCTTGTTCTCTTGATACCTGCAATTGCTGTTTTGTCAACTGTTTGCCCCAATTGAGTGGAAACTTCGTAAGGGTTTGGGCTCTTCTTGGTCTTATTCACTTCTTTATTTCTAGGACTTACAATGATTAAATAAATGAAAACATCTAAGTTCTAATCACGAGTAGCTGAAGGTAGCATATTTTCCAGACCCTAGAAACATGTTAGCCATTCATTATTTGGCCTCTCATATGTCACACAATAACCTTAATAAAAAATGATTTGGATTTCTTGTTGTCATGTGTGCTTCTTAACACATAACTGAATTGTTTTTTGATTTGAGAAGCAGACAGATGAAGGAATATTTTCTGTATGCTGATTGACTCTCCAAACACCCACAATAGTTGGGGCTGAGCCAAGCTGAAGCTAGAAGCTAAGACCTCAATCCAGATCTCCCACTTGGTTGGCAGGGATCCAGCTACCTGTTGCCTTCCAGAGTACACATCTGTAGGAAGGTGGACACAGGAGTGGTGCCAGGCATTGAACCTAGACACTCTGGCTTGGGGTGTTGATATACATTAGTCTTGGTGCCCAGTCCACACAAAATGCATCTTCAGAATGTTTCAGTTGATATTTCAAGTGAAAAAATGTACTGATTCTTATCAACAGATTTCTTGTCTCCTTGGTTGAAAGCATTTCAATTCTAGAAAGATTAATCTGCCGGTAGCTATCACATGAAACTTCAAATGTCCAACCAGGGCCTGATGTTGACTCTTTTCTTCAGTTCTTCTTAATGGTTCTTCTAATGTGGCAAGTTGTACATCACAT